GTTTTACTAAATTTATAAAAACCATAACAAAATTTAATTACCAAATCTTTTAATATATATTTTTTTAAATTTTATTTGTTATCAAGACGTTTAAACATGCATCAGCTTCATCATTTTTTATTTATTAAATCTTAAAATACTTCTATCTGCCAATGTAGGTAATTAAAAACTAAGGAAGAATTTTGATAAGCAATCACTTGTTTTCTGCAAGACTAAAAAATTTTACTCACAATGTACACGCCAGACGTTAATTAGGGGCGTGTAAATATTTCAAGCTCCAGTCTCAATCATCAGATAAGCGCCTTAATTGAACGCAAAGACTTGTCACCTTGTTTTTATTCCGCGTTTACGAGAACTAAATTTTGCTAATTTCTTGAACGCACCTAATTATTATATTGAACGCATCTAACAAACGCCATTGTTGGCTTTATAGTTAATTAGCTGGAGTGTAATAATTGGTTCATTTTCAACAATGTACAGCGTTTTTTCAACAGAGTGTGCATGCAAGTACAACACACTTATTTTACCAAACGCTGTGCTGTCAGCTTCATCATCAAAGCATTGAATTCATTCAAACTAAAATTGTCGTATTAAGCGTTTAATGTGTTTTGATGTTGGAAGAAGTCAATGAATGTCTTAATAGTTTAATTACTCATTATCAAATATATTCCTAGAAATAAAGTTAAAATTTACCGCTTTGGTGTGATTGTCACCAAGTAAATTATACAAAATTAAGCTCCAAAATATGGAATTACTTTTGTTAATCACAATAATGCCTCGTGTTCGGTGTCGCGTTCTGTTGGTTCTCGATGGACGGAATTTTATTTTCAGTTGTGCTTTCATGCCGGTTGCGTATCTATGACGAATCTCATTCGTGTCGGCTATCACCCAAAATTTGTGATAATTAGGCGGCGAGTTCTAACAGTTTTTTTGTTCTAATAGCTAATAACACCATTTTGCGTTTTTTGTTTGGTTCATTGTTGATAGCACCGATTGTTATCTTTGTGCGTGTGTACTCAAATGAAAAACATTTGTTTCAACACCCCAAAACTGTTCAAAATCTGAATCACCAAAATGTTTGCATAAAAAACTGTTAACAGGTGCATACTTCAACGGGGACAAACTTCAGAACATAGTTTGTTCTTAATTACTTAGTAAATAATCTAAAGTATAGCACTTGGGGCGGTTTTGTGCTTCCAAGTTTCAAGTTGAACGAAAGATAGAAATATTACGCAACGCCTTGTTGTGAACATGGCGCACTATAAAGCAGAGAGTGCTTGCAAATTAATTAAACTTTCATATGCTTTAGTTCAGGACGATGGGATGTGTCAGAATATTGTTGCGCGTAAAACTTTGATAATATTAAATGTATCACGAAATAATCAAATTATTTTGTCAAAATTGGTCAGTGTTATGTAGAAGTATCAGTATTAGCATTTCTACAATTTTCTATTTTAAGCAAATAGTGAGAACGCGCAATTGAAGCAAAATCTTTATATGTGGTCGCAACTCGCAACTTCTTATACTTCCATATAAACTTTGCTCTGCGCGTTGGTTGCAATATCCCCACGGATAGTTTTCCTTTACGATTCGCGAATTGGAAAGACTCGAGATGCAAAGTTAGTTCAGGTTTACAGTGGAATCTGTCGGAAATTTTCGCAAAGTTCGCTTTCATCGAGCATATATTACGATATTTTACGACTCAGCTAGCCGGCATAAGGTGAAAATTCCAAATTATGCGATAACTTTCCAAATGCGTTCCTAAGTTTTTAAGACTCCTAATGATTACTCATTGCGTTTGGTGTAGTAGCAGATACCTTCTTTCCTACCACGAGAATCACGAAACTAAATGAACGATTGTAGTAAAAGTTTGTTTGTTCCTATTTGCTTCTTCATAGCACTGCAATTGCTACTTTGATCCTCATGTCGATTGTTCCTGGTTAATGTTTCGTCGAATGTCGATGTATGTGACTGTTTTGTTCAACGCTTGAAGCCCATCCTGCCGCCTGGTCTGCGTGCACTGTTCGCCGCTTTGCGGCGCTATTTAGTTTGGTTCATAATCTGTAGATTTATAATTGAAGGAAGTAGCGACACGCGAAACGCGGCTTCCTCGTTATTCTCTCTCTGAGCGTGTGCAGTTAGTGTGTACAAACGCGGGAAGGTTTTACGACGCGGTGAGGTAAAGATTGTTTCGGCGCGATAAAACGCGCCTCGCTGATTACTGGCGATAATTATAAACAATCGAGTTTTGTTTTCGTGTACTGTCGCAGCAACTGCAATAATGAGTGTGACACATAACACTTAGGAATCATTATTCGACCATCAAATTCATCTTACTTTTCATATTAATAATAACGAAAAAAAAATTGATTAAATATTTATCAAATATACTGAATTATTTATATCTAAAACTAAGTAGGACGAAATTACCTGCACGAATGAAAACAAATTAGCTACAATGGAAAATATTATTACTTGTTTGTATGTTATTAGCTTCTGGTAAATAAATATTTTTTCCAGGAAAATAAATAATACCAATAAGAGTTTTTATTGAATTTCTAGTCAATTTATAATTCAGCTGTGAAAACTTTAAATAAAAACCTCCGATTTTATAAAATTCCACGCCAAACACGGATTATCTTTTTTGAATCGTTCGTTCGTCCTGCGTGTGCATGCACGGTGGAAAAACCCTGCAACCATGAAATAAAAAAAAAACTAGAAACTATTACAACGGACTATGGACTCTCAGCATGGACAATAGTGTGGCGTGTCGCGGAAAAACAAACTGCGCAAAATAAAAAAAAGGAAACACAACTAGAAAATGTCGTTTCGATGCACAATGCGCATGCAAACAAACATCGAGATTTACTATGTATGTACTATTCCACTATCCTATATGTTTATTTTGTTTTGTTTTTGTTTTACGTGACGGGTGTTACATCTATATTTTTGTGTTTTCCGATCGAGCTTGGCCAACTTAATAGAGCTTCAACGAAAAGAGTGCCGCTTTGAATTTAACGCCAACTTAACGCTACTTGTATTGTATTCCCGAGATGGAAAAAAAGTGTTTTAGTAATTTTGCGTAACCCGTAACCTATCCAACACATTAAAATTAAGTAGTCAATTTGTTTGCATTGAATTTTAATAATGCTTTGCAAGAATTTGCATGCGTTCACTTTACGCATTTACCGGTAAATGAAATTATGCAAATGAAAAATTTAAGTTATAAATCAAATACTTACGTTTATACCAAAATTTTAAACTATTGATTTGATTCTTGTCATTATGTAGGTATTACGAGTAGGTATAACTGATATTTGAGTATAGTTTTCAGCAGGTACCTATATATTCATTTTATTGCTGTACCATAATTCTATTTAAATTGATTAGATAATATAATAATTTCCAAGCAAACATGCATACAACAACAAAAGTTGTAAAATGTTAAAAAAGCATAATTTCATTCCTTTTAAATAGCTAAATATTGAAGCAATGATTTTATGAGTAAATAATTGTAACAAAAAACTGTCATATTGTGTTTCATGCAATAATGCAGTAAATACACCCAGTAAATATTAATTTTGGTGAGTGAATTTTTCACGTAGATAATGTGGCGTGCTGCGATCTACTAAATTGTAAGTATAACGATGCTTTTGTGCCTTTTGTGGTTTGGAAAAATAGCGTCGTTGCCATTACAGTAGCGCTTTGTGTCCAAGCCATCCGCGCGCTGTTCAGTCTTAACGTGCAAGCAAACAAAAAAAAAACATTATTATGCCTACTAAAAATCATCATTAATACATTTTCACAATAAAACGGATCACGAACGTTATACGCGCGCTTATAATAAGGATTTTACGCGATGTGTCACGGTATGTTTTACTATATCATTGGCTTATATTTTTCGTGAGTTTGTGGTGTGTTGTTGTCAAGCATTCGACGGCATTAACGAATCGTAACGGTGCGCTTCTGTTTTCCGCCGTTCTCAATTCTCGCTATCGTCGCTTGGACGTTGCTTTTAATGGCGATAAAAATGTGGGAAAACGTATAGACCGCGCGACCGCTTATCGACAGGACATCTAATATAATAACCGGACCCAACGCGCAATCCTACTTTTATACGCGGCGACAACATAACAATAAAAGTATCAAATGAAACAGAAAAGAAACACAAATAACAGAGCAGCAAAACTTTGTAACATTGTAATTGGATCGAATTCGGCCAAGTGCGAGCCTGTCTCGAATTGGTCGACGTTGAATATGAGTTATTCGTATAATGATGTCTAATGGCGGACCGTGGTCAGAAAACGCACGCTAAATTATTCCGTACGGGCGCCTCACGGAGGGCATTATCTTGCTCGATCTACATGTGTGTTCTAATCAAATATGCAGAGCGTGGTGCCCGAATGAAATGCATGAAATTCAATATATAGTGACCGCGAGCGCCACGTTCGAATCATTGTCTGCGCAAACATTAGCCAACAATAAAATACAAGCTATTGACGACAATGCATAAAAGGAAACAATACCAAAAACGACACTTTTCATTATGTTAAATCTGAGCAAAAGATTGAAATGTTAGCGACAAATTTTGCTTTTTATGTTTTTTCTTTTTTTTTGAAAACGTGAGGCATGGACAGCTTATTCTTTCGGTAAAAAAAAGATTAAACGGTAATTGAATTTTAAACAGTTGAAATTTAAGTCAAATGTTAAATTTCTTTGGATTTGAGATATGGAATAATTTAAATATCGAAATATTGGCATCATTTTTTCTTGTGATCATCGTAAATTATCCTAGGTTATTTATTCATCCTCTGTGCATAGGAACCTCCCAATTTGTAAATCAACATCTCCTCTAATGTCGGAACACAATTTCCCCCCAAAAAGGACCTAAGGGTTGCGCGTTATATTTAGCTTAACAAGGGCCAACATATACATATAAATTAAGGACCAGGTAGTGAACCCACACAGCCCCGGATAGATAGCGAACATTTGCCCCTTACCTGATTCGCATAATAGTCGTTGCGATTCATCACGCCGGTGGATCCGCCGGCACTCCCGCCCGGATGCTGAAGGTGCATGTTGTTGTCGGGGGCGCTAAGCTCTCGCCCGAGATGGTCGCGCTCGAGGTCCTGCATGTCGGCGCCGCTCATATCTTGCGGTGGATGGTGCGGCATGTTCGTGTGATGCTGCTGCTGCATACCCCCGCGTTGGAGCTGCTGATGCTGCGAATGTTGCGGATGTTGGGAATGCTGGGCGTGTGGCGGGCCGACCCCCATGTCGGGCGGTTGCATATCGCCGATCCCGCCGCCGCCGCTCATGCCCATAATTAGTGGCGATACGTTCGACTCCCAGGTATCCTCCATCTTGTCGGTGGGCGCGCGCGTTTGTGTGCGTGTGCAACTCGACGTAACGCCCCCGTAATCGTAACGCACCGGCGAGCACGGAATCCCGGCCTACGCGGACGAAACACGACTGAGAGTTTAATTAATTTATGTCTCCGAACTTGATGGAAGATATTCTCGGTTGTGCGCTAGGAAAATCTACTATTGACACTTACGAACAGATTTCACAAAGTTTTTACGAATTTTATCAGTCACTTAAAGGTCTGTGTATGTGGTCCTGCGATAACACAATAGACTATAAGATGTAAAAGTTCATTTCTTTTCTTTCACTGGAGTTTTCTGCAGGTACGAAAACACTTGCAAAAACAGCATGCACTATTCCACAGGTGTTTCTTTTATTCTTATTCTCTGCGTGCGGTATTGTCGTACCAGCGTGTCACCAACGTGTTTTTTTCTCCAAATTTGATCCGCAAAAGTCAAAACACACACACACCACAATTTGACAAGCACTCAATTCAATTAATTTAGAAAACTTAACTCAACTTTACGAAATTTGTGCATCAAGAACAGACGTGGAGTACCTAGTTGAGTGCAAGTTTAGTTCACACTCTGCGATTATTAATACTTAATGTCCAAGGCGGCAAATCCTTAAAGTCTTGGCGCGTTGTTCGCAAAGTTAACAACGGTCATAAAACTTGCGCAAACACGAATTATTCGTTATCATACCGCGCGTAACACTCGAATGTTGAGCACTTTGGCGCGCGCACTGACTCCGCCGAAGGTGGCTCGCAGCGGAACTAAAACTTTTGAATTTCCGCGGAGACGAATTTTTTGTCCGCCGCCAACGGTATGAATCGCTTCTATGGTCGTTGTTGCTCGCCGATTAGCTGGGCTACTTCGAAGCGGCGCTTATTTTTAGCACGTGGCGTGGTGATGCGGCAACGCGCTCGTCCATAATCTAATAAATCACACCGCGAAACGGTGTACAAGCACTGGTTCAGGTTTGAGCAGGTTTGATAGAAGCGAGCTTCAACTCGGTGCGCGCTGGCTTTACCAAGAGGTAGGTGTGCGAGCGGCTTCGACGGGCTTAATGGTAACAATGTGCTGCCGGGGCGCCTCTCCTCCCGTGTGTGCCGTGCGCGAGTATGCGTGTGTGAGTTGTGGGGCACGTACATGTGCGGACAGCGGCGCCGACGGCGGGAGCGCGCGCTCGAGTAGACTGCGTGCGGTCGTCGGTGGTGACCGCCCCCCTCCATCCCCACTCGGCTCCGGTGCTCTCATGCAAGCAGCGGGCGTCTGTGTGTGTGCGCGAGGATATAGGTACATTTATGCACACATGGTGGCGTAGTGCGCACCTTTCGAGTCTGCCACCCCACAAAAAGTCAAAGGCGGCAACGGCATGCTTTATAAATAAGGTTGTTGTATTTTGTGCCGCTTGTTTTAGCCGTGGGAAAATTGTTTCAAACTGTGCTTTTCCACTACCATTTTCTTTTCTTTTCATCAAAAGGACCACACAAATTTACTCAAGGGTAGTAAATTTCATATAGTTAAATATTTACATACTTAATCTTACTTTATTTTGAACCCAGTACCTAATCATTTAATGCATTTTTAAATTTTAATTGAATTAATTAACATTTGACGTTAGATTAACATTTGCACGTTTTGAAAGCGATCTTTCAGAATTGATTCAATTTTATCGCCATTATCAGATACCGTTGGTCACTTAACGTTAACACACGTCATTTGGCAATATACCCATGTGAATACAATGAGATAAGGATTAATTGCAGGTGGGTTCGGCGTTTATAAAGTGCCCCGTCGATTGTCTTCGCTGAAACAATGCGACGGAGAAGCATCCGAGTGAAACGCGGCTTTGCTCGCCCGCTAGGTGTACGAAATCGGTAGGAAAACTAGAAAAAGTACTTGACAACTAAATGTACTTGTCGTGTAACCTTAATTGCGATGCACTCATTTTACATATAATTATAAAACGTCGAGTTTCGTGTGTGAGTGAGAGTTGGTCGCCGCTGGTCACTTGTTGAAGTCGTCGCATGAACTCGTAAAATTTATGGTGCCATGAGTGAAGTCAGTCAAGTGAATTGTCAGTCTTTATGATCGCCGGCGTTTATGAACAAGCATAATGTAAGCTTAGAAGTTGGTTGTAAATTGCGCAAATCTTAATGCAATATGTCACATTTTGTGATAATCTTTTAATTCAAGTTGGAAGTCAGGAATTTTTAATTTTTCACATTGAAATATTTAAAATAACTCAACGTTTTCGCTAGACTTTCAATTATTCGTTTGGAATGTGAAATACCAAGTTGAATACGTCAATTTTGTCAAAATATTTACGTTTTCCAGTTATCCTCAATTCGAACAACGAAAAATCCAAAATACGGCTTTGTAGTATGTTAAGCACGCTAAAAATCTGTTTGTTCTAATTCAACGTCAACAATTTGTTGCTGCAATCGTATGATGTGTGCGCACAATTTGCAAATATATTTAAATGTTTAACTTTTTTCTTGGTTTTGCATAGACTATATCATAATAAAAATGTTGAAAAAATGTAGCAAATGTTCACGGTACCGTTTAGTATGTCGTTTGATTTTTATTTAGTTTTTGCAAGCCGCACGCGCCGACGTATCAACATTTTTACCGATTATTCAAAATTTTATGTGTTTTATGTGATAATGCGCGGCTCGATAAAATCACTCAAGGATGCACGCATTGAATTTTTAAACTACCATGTTATAAATATATGTAAAGCCGGTAATAACGTGAAGCGTTTTCGGCGCGACCCACGAAATTTGCCCGTCGCGGCACTTTTGTTGCTCCTTCTCAGTTTACGACATGAGCATTGATGAACGCATATTATTAATCGGTCGTTTTCAAATGTGTCGATGCGCGTCGCCTTTTTTCACTTTGAGCGTCCGAAAGTCAAAAACGTGAAAAAAAACCAACTTAGTGAAACGTACGAGTTGGGAGTTTGAGCGATAAAGAATTTAATATAGGAAATTTAGGTTTCGTGTTAGTCCTAATTGGTGCGATAAATCAATCTTCTATCGTGCCAGACATTATTTGGCCTCTGACACGTTTGGATTTTTTGTTTCATTCGCGCCCGAAACGCAAAGCCGGTAAGCAAAGAGTTCTGGGACTTCGACTGCGTCCACTTCGCGGTGCAATCAACGTTTTCGATCTAAGTACATTTGTAGTTTTTTCGTGGCATGCGCGCTTAGAGAGTTACACAGAAAAATAAGTGCTTATACATATATTTTCGTGCAATTTAATGTAATATTCATAAATGCGAGAAATAATGTTGCTCGCCGCGACGCGAACCACAAGAGCGATGCATGTTCAAATTTGTGTTTATGGTTATGCATGTGAGTACGTCGGCCAAGAACGAACACGGTTCTTGTGAATTTGCATAATCTATTAGCCTAACAGGTGAACTAGTTTGGATGACTGTTTTGGGCTTAGAGGTGCTTCTTTATTGTTGTTACGTAAACAACAGTCTGGCTAAAAACCGCGAGAACATTTCAAATGCTACCAAATGCAATAAACCTTGACGAATATTTGTAGAAATGGTCATTTATGGATGTATGTAGCCGATGTTTTACTTTTTGTTGTTTTTATGGCGGAATTATAAAACTGGGTTATTCTCAAGAACTTTTTAAATGGGTTTATCCAAAATATTACCTAAGATGCTGGTAAAATGACAAAAACTTAAATAAATGATTCATTGATATTCAATACCAGAGCACCAAATCTATTCTGATATGCAGCATTATCGTACAGCGTCAATCTCTCTTAGTCAAACCACCTTAAACACAGAATTAGTTCCGATAAGGTCGCAAACCGAAGCAGGACGTGTACGCTGCAATGGCTTTCGGACCGCACCATTGGTTCCAGCATGAGCACTCGTATCTTGACGTCAACGAGCTTCGGTTTGCAAAATGTCACGATAATACAGCATCGAGCATCGGGTCGGCGTTGCAGCTTGTCGCCTGACTCGCCCGACTTCGGACACGTCTTGCGCGCGCTAGACCAGCGCCCTCGGCGACTCCGCCATTGCTTAAAATCGGTTGGAATCGTTGACGGGCGAGCGGAATGCATGCAAAACAAGGCGAAAATTTATTGCAGGAAATCTAAACAGTCACCATGCAAGGCGAGTGTTGAAAATACACCAAGGAGAGACGATTTATAAGACTTGTGAATATTGTAAATATGCAATCTTCTAATCTTTCAACACCTCGCGATGTTGTTGCAATCGCGCGCATCTACTGATCTTGTCAAGTTTGAGAGTGTATTTAAGATTCGGATTAAAGCAAAAATTACAATTAGTAACAAATAAATTCATTCTATAACAATACTATTCATTCTGTAGTTCGCCCGATTGCTGATACTTTATTGTTTGATCATGTTTGGTTCCCGCGCACTTAATTAACCAGCCCGAAATTAAATTAAAACCGCGGTGCTTTTGTAATATCGGGCGTACTGTTTCGTCTGATGAATTATGGATAAGGAACCTACCACAAATTTATACAATTATATTGCCTATACCTATATGCGCATCTGCACGCACTGGCGAAACTCAGAGCCCTGATCCGGCGTTCATAGCGATTCAATTATTAATTCCAGATTATTTACTTACGAGCTTAATTCTTAATTTAATGCGCCTCCACTGAAGACTAGACTTCATTAAAAAGCTATAATGTCATTCGGCACACACTCGTACCCGACGAAAATTAATTGGATGATTATGTGCAGACAACAATGAGCGATGAGTTAATTATTCAAATTTTTGCATACAACACAAACATCGGCAATTAAGCACAGCAACGCACTTTGCCAACAAAGTTAAATACATTTCTTAAAGCTTGTGCTTTAATGTTTAAACAAGGCAGGTATTACCTACTACCAATTTGCTGAACAATTAATTAAATTATCATACCTACATAGAAAGTGTTTGCAAAATGTTTTAAATTCTGACAAATTTTTACTGAATATAAGAAATAATCATAAAATTATTCTTCCAACAAAGAAAAAAACTTAAATGTTATCCTAGATGGTCTTAATACTGATTTGGCACGGATTTCCTATTTTGGTATTTTTTCTAATCTGAGATACAATTAATTTTGAGAGATGAATGCATGCGTGGCATTTTCTACAGGAAATATAAATCATATGCGTTTCGCGTGCGTGTTGGTGGCGGTTCATTATGTTTCTGCATTTCGCGTATGTCGCAAACAATTGTGAAGATTGCATGCTGTTAATTTAATGTCATCATCAGCGCGCCACGGCCGCCATATTCTCGTTGCGGTGCCTGCGCTTGTATCGCTTGCATCGGTTTTAATTATCGCTTCTTTATGTGCGTCCACAGCGCGCCGGCGGCCGTGCACGTTGGCATTGTGTTTGTCCGTTCGTGTTTAATTGATTATAAAAATAATAAAATGCAAAGTTGGTATGAAAACAGCGTTATGTAAGAAGATTTGGCCTTTATTTGCGGCTTTATCGACGTGACACTTCCCATATTGTTTTGTGGCATGCGATCGCACCGCAAACAACAATAATCGAACAATGTTTAATAAATCAACGCGACTATGTACATTATAAATAGGTTGAACGGAGGACAATGTGGTTGGTATTATGAGTACTGTTGACAATATGACAGACAAGAAGGTTGCGAGGCAATTTAATTAGTACACTAAGAGATTTTAGCTAAATTGTAGTTTGTATAATAATTTCTGAAAAGTTCCTAGCACAACTTGAGGGTTTGTATGAGTAAAATCACCGTTAAAATATTTTTTAGTTTTTCCACAGTTTTGGAATACAAAAAGTAGTACTTTCCACACAGAGTCCTTTTCTGAGGACGTGACTAAAGTACTTTAGTCACAGGGCAGAGCTTGTGCCTACGCATTTGCCTACTGCTCGTGTCGGCGCGGCACGACATTTATAACCTTACATTAACTGCTTTAATACTTTAATGATTGGTTAAAGTGCCCTTTAGCGCACTTGATTCTTAATACACTATAATATACTGTTGACAATCGTTTGTAATTCGGGTGCTTCACTATTTAATTTTAAATGTTAAACAATTTGTCGTTTACATAGCTTTTGTAAATATTGAACACGAATCATTCCTAGCATTAATCTTAATTTAGGCAATACATCCCTGCATTTAAGCCGAATCGTATAAATTAAATACCTATCTCTAAAGATGACGTCAAGTCCAAGGTAGTAATGCCGGTGAAGCCTTGCGATTGCAATTAAGTCGATCATACATCGCATCGAAAAATCGCATAACGCTTGCATATGATGCGGGGTGCGGAAATTGTCGAAGCCGGTGATGGTCGGACGTTTAGCAAAGCCTCGGACCGCGACTAATTGCAGGTGTCGCGGCATGAGGCTCTGGCGCAAACCGTTGATGCTACGGCACGAAAATATTTAATTAAATGCATTTCCCGTTGTAATATAATATTTCGATCTGATAAAGACGGCCGCGGACCAGGCATTTCGGACATCGCGGAGCAACCTTTTTCTCGCTTCCTTCGCTTCCTTTCTCGCTGGCGTACCACAATGAATGGGAAGGTGTAGTAGACGGAAAGTTTTGCGTTTGGAGCGGTTTCAATCAAAAGATAGGAGAGACGTAAATTAACACCGGTCAATATATATGAAGATGGACATTAAACGAATTAATTGACTTTGAAAAAAATTGAATATCATGCATTACATTTACGATGGTTTAATTTAAAGATTTTATCTTTTATTTGAACATAATAAGAATTGCATTAGTGTACTTATACATATTTAATGTGGTAGGTCCATCAATGATTAAACCATTAGTTGTGAAAAATCCTTCTAAAATTTGCACCAACGTTAAAAATCACCCAAAATCGTGACTTTGACATTTTTGACATTTTGACATTAAACATTTTGATGTCTTTCTTATTGTTTGTCATTCTTTAATCAATGGTAATTGTTTTATTTTAATAAAATTGTTACAAGTTTCGAAACATTTTTGCGGTACATCTTAAATTAATGTACTAATTCAATTTTTTTTTGAAATTTGAAAGCGCGCGCTCTTGCTTAGTTGAGTATTGGCAACACAGCCCGGAGTCGGATCACTCTGCTCCGCGCACACAACCAAACAGGTATGTTCGGTCGGTGTGACAGCAAGCCCGTACGAACCTCACTTTCTAGTGCGCGGACTATCACCATATTCAAGTAACGCAGTAAAATGTAAGTGGAACGCAACGTACTAAAAATCACTACGATGGCAAGCGAATTAAGTTTTGATGAAATTCACAAATATCTGCTTCGCAACGGCGGACGCGTGCCGAATGCCGAGATTGTACGACACTTCAGCCACTATCTGCGAGATCCGCTCACGAAAGGTACGTTTGTTTACTTCTGTCAAAACAACACAACATAGCAACCTGTTGATTTTCGAACTTCGAAGTAGTATCCACAGCTTAGGGATTATGAAATAGATGCTATTGTCAGTGGATCTGTAAATGTTGACTGTTGGCATCGTAAGTTACGCGAGGAATTGATTGGTTTTTAACGTTTGTGGCATTTGCGGGTTGAGGAGGTTAGGTTTTGTATACACAACTAGACTGTGTAGCAGAACGCAGCGTAAAGGAGAAGGCGAGAACGCAGTGAATGGGGCCGGAGTAGGGGAAACCGAGCATTGGGTAAGCCGCCAGAATCGAATGCATTTGTCGAAATCGTCGAAATCATGCAATTCTTCAACAACATTGATAGAGGTTAATATTGTCGATTTGATAGTTGCAAAGATGAATTCTTCAGTTGTTTTCAGTTTGTGATTTAATTTTGAACGATGATCAGCTTATTTATATTATATTCTGTTTACTAATATTAACTGTGTTATCTAATCTTTCTGAAATTTGGAATCATATGATTCATTTGTGAATCTACGTTATCATTGTCAATTTTAATTGCATTTTCAGAGGATGCGAAAATAAAGTTTAAAGCCTACGTGAATGAGCTGGCCTCTACGCGACAAGACGGCGGACAAAAGTGGGTCACCCTTCGTTCTCATTACCAACCCGCACCATCAGTTCCGGAACACCCTCGATCATACCAGCAACATTCCTCACCTAAATACGACCCGCGAAATTCCATTGGTTTACCGACATCTCCACATAATAATATTGGCATTCCAATGTCATCACCAGGAGTAGTGCAAGCTATAAATCCCTTTGTATATTCCCCGCAACGTGTTCCACCCCCATACAGACCGCCTCCACCAGTACAATCTCCAAACACATCTTTATCAAGTGATAATGTATCCATATCATCGTCCATATTTTCAATGAAAACGGATCAAGCGCCAGTGGTACCGCAAGCACCGCCTCGAAGAAAAAGTAGTGATAAACTTGTAGCTGAACGGCGGGAAGCAGCTGAAAATTCAACATCTGGTTCTGGGATAAACAAATATGCAGAGGCAGGTAAAGAAAACGAACGTCCCGATTATGTGAGCAAGGATATGGAAGTGGATAAGGAGCAAATTGTCAGCGTAAAAGAACGCACGCAGAAATTTAACCGGCTTGCTTCGGTGGAAGATGACAGTCCAAAGATTCAGAAACCCAAGAAAACGCCAGTGAGAAGTAACAACAAGGTGAGTGTGGGTGATTCTGCCCGTTTGTATTTAATGTAGATAATCTCCGAACGATTCAATCAGCGTTGGCTAAATGCTTATAACGATATTACACAAATACTGTCTCCGGGGTGTTTGTCCGTGCCTCGCGCAGCAATAATTTTGAATGAGTAATGGTGTCTAAGATGTGCGTCCGATTAGGATGTAATGTTTGATGTAATTTAGTGGCGCAAGCACACGGACGCACACATACTGTCGCCGGCCTTACGATAATGTATCTCGCGTGGAATATGAGTAATGACCGACCGAGTCGCGTCCGAGCGAGAGCGCGAAGAATGTGCGCTGTCATTCTGGGCGCATTTGCTTCGGCGAGAATCGTCGCGCAGAGAAGGCAATATGTTTGAATAATCCCGCTGCGATCACAAATTAGTTTACGGGTAACCCACGTGCCACAGCAAGGTACGGGGAACATCTTCCATCGTCCTGTTACACGACGATCCTTTGGAGACTTTTTCTCTCTTTCCTGAACATGTTTGGCTAGACCTGGCATAGGGCAAAGGCAAACTCTTTGCAGTCGAAGTGTATTTTATGATATCAATTATTGTCTTCTACATGACTTGCTGGGTTGTTTGCTAGGAACGACTACGGTCTCCAACGTGTGTATCGCCCCGAGTGTCGAGGCATATCCAAACGAGGATATCGAGATAGACTTTCGAACTTTGGTACGTTTTACTGGGATTTGCTCTCCGACTGCTCGCAGCTAACAAGCTGGTTGCTTGTACCACCTCGTGGCTATGCCGATGAGTCGACATGGCAATTGAGAGCAAAATAAAATCAAGGCTTGGCTTAAATCAGTGTGATGAAAATCCATTAAAGTCGTCAGTTTTTTCATTCCATCGGTATGTTTAAATGTCTAATATTTTGTCTATGCTTTCGCGTTTGTTTACATCAAGTACTAGCAAATGTTCTGATGGGCTTTCAATACGTATAAAAACAAACATTGAATATTTAATTGAAAATGTTCAGGCTGGGGGCCGTGCAATGTTTCAATTATGCCTACAGCACACGCGTGTATGCCGCGCACCGCGCACGCATACGAATGTTGAAAAAGCGTGCAAAATAATAAATTTTATTTCCTGGGTGTAGAAGAGGCCCGCGTACTCGTACACGAAACTCATTAGCACGAAATTAATTTAGAAAAAACATTGCGCCCGCCGCGCCGCTCCCGCGCGGCATATATCACATTGCACATAGCGAATAATGTATTGTTGGCAATAAATACGAACAACACGGTGCACAAAAACGGCCGCACGTCAATGGCTCGCCGCTTGTTGGCTACGTTTTGCATGTGAGTCGTGTCGAGAGTATGAATAACGCGATCGCGCACGAGACACACTTTTCAAAAACACGGCCTGTAAAATTTTAATTCATTTTCATGTTTTAATTTTTGCGCCCGCGATCCCGTCTGTGCATGAGTCAGTTACGCGTGGATGAAAAGTTGATGATTTAGTGTTGTTTAATTCAAACCCTTTGATAATTGTATGTTCGTATATACACATATACGTTCTCGCGCACACACACACATACAAATTGCTGGAAGGTACTTGCTGTGGGTCGTGTTGGATGTGCGTTTGAAGTAGTGATACTTGTGGAATCCCTTCTCTGGTGATCTACCCTCGTGTGACGCGCGCGCGCCGAGGGGGCGTTCTGGGTGCGCGCTGCCGCCGCTCGCTCGTTTTGCGGTTGACAGACACAAACCAATAACCCTTTTGTTTTATTATAATAATGCTCGTTCGCGTTGGTGTCGAGGGCAGGGGGGAGCGTACAATGTGTATGTATGATCCTCCTGCGGGATAATACACTTGCCTCGTAGATGGTGGATGGTGGAAAACCCACACTAACGAACGCTTCACGCAATGCAAAACAAATGCGGAACACTGCATGGTAGTGGTGCGACAGGCGGCGGCAATTCGATGCCACGGCGATGGCACTCGTTTTATTTAGCGGAGCCCCGGAACATTTATTTGTCGCGAATTGCTTTTACTATTGGTCTACATGCATTTCTGTCACCATTCATTTTGCGCTTAATTTATCGGCTAATTATATATCACATGCGTGCGTTTGCTATTTTAAATTTACGACTTTATTTCGACGGCAAGAGGCGTGTGTGTATGTAAACTGGCGCAAATGGCAGTGGAGTACTGAATCAATACTTCTTCGTAGAATACGTAATACATAGTTATATTTACTTAAAATTGTACGTGAATTAAATTACATTTTGTTTCGAGAATACATGTTTTGCCTTCAGGGCATCGGCAGTTACAGTTTTACTAGGTTTTAAATAAATACTTTACTTTAATATACTATTTACTGTAAGCACACATTTTCTCTGAAAGGAATAACACTAAATAATTTGGGTAAAATAAACAACAATAGAAATTAACTTTGAAAAGCGTAACTAAGCGCCTGTGGTGGTTCTTTGCAGTGACGTGGTTGTAGACGCGACGCATGTTTCCAATTACCTAATTGAATTCCAAGTGCTTAGTTGTACGATGCCGCACTTTGTTCGAGTATAATGTGTTAAGTTAATAACAATAACAACGGGCTAGTAGCATTGATCTATCATGCGGCCACCGTACGTGTACTTCACAATCGACATAGGAAAAGGGCACGTGTCGAATCGAATGCTTTGTTCTTTTAAACAAACGGCATTATTCGTTAACATCCCATCAAAGTACGCCATATGCATACTCGAGTACTGGGAACAAAAAGCGCGCTTTTGCATTCAGCACGAGAATATGATAAAACCACATAAACTTTATACAGATTCAGCTTTTGTTCAGAAGTAGGTATGTATTCTAACGAAAATGATGAAATTCGAAATGAGCCACTAGCATGGGAACAGGTTTTGCATCACTCGACCAAAAAAATAGTCTTTACAAGCGATGGGAAATGGGAACAGCGTTTGCGGGAACCTTTCATAGCTTGCGCCACGAGCTCACAGATTTATGCCAGCAGATTAAGGCGAGTTAATTAAAATCGTCAAAATGTTCAACATGATATTCAGTTATACAAATCTTCCGCGCCTGGCGCGCGACTGGGCTACGATCTTCGGTTATTTAGTTACTTCATCTCGGCGTCCGTATCAGCGATGCACCACGTACGCGTATAATTGAATGAGTATGGCATATTAGGCAGACGCCACTAGTAAATTTTGCTTGTGGCCAGCCCCACGATGTGATTTTATCGGCCCTGTCCATCTCCATTCTGTCTCTGCGATAACAAGCACTAAATTGAAAAGCTTATAAAATCGATTCTTGTTCGTTCATTCACTGTGTATCCTTCTCTTCAGGTCAGACACAAGTCCAGAGAAAGGTGTCTGATCGTCGGGAGTCGCTCAGGTGATTGGATGACAGTTTATTTGACATTTTCTTGGACCCAGAACTAAATACCCATCACATCATCAATTTATGATTTCTCCTAATGTGAACTTGCGTTATTGTGAGTATGTATTTTCTTGGAACGCCTTCCTGTGGCATCTAAATTTAAAGACAATAATTTAATGTCTGTCTTTATATAAATGCATTTCGAAGAAGAGAGCAGCAGTTGGAGTTCATATTTGTGCAATGAAGTAGATACGTTGGCACGCATGCCCAATAGCTCCAGGGTGCGCATCAGTCACCCCTTGACTAACATCTAAATATTCTCACAGGATTGAGCCTATGGTGTTTATTTGCAATCGAATAAATCCACGCGGCATATTCGACCAATGCGAAATGCAAATCTATTCGTTGTCCGTGCGCCGATGCGAATGTTTATTTAGTTAATTGTGCGAATCGTAAATTAAATTTATAATACTTTGCGCTCATGCAGCCAACAGATTCTATCAGCAACATTTATTTATATAGGAACGTGCGAAAGCTTGCGCTTTGCATGCCGGCGTCATACGTTTCACGATCTGTGGAAAATGCAAATGTGGATACGCGCACCACGCATGATTTACTCATATCGTATTGCCGTCCGCTGTCATAATTTGACTTGTTCTCTTATTTATTAAGCACGCTATTTGCACTGCAGCATGGCTTGTGAGATATGCACCGTAAAATGTCGTCGAGGATATGTTACTGGTTTGCTAAAACCTTTCGTGGTGCGCGCGCTCCTCGGTTGCGACCAATATCGCGTTTACATGCCTGAGTAAAACACGAAAATTGATAAATCGTAACTTGAAACTTTCCAGCTTCTGCCAGACGACTCCTAATTGCCCATATTGATTTTTTTATGGCCTTTGGTGCCTTGCAATTGATACTTTTGAACACTGGGTCGTAAAATTTGTTAAATAATGTATAAATTTAACGTTTTGGTTGCTGCTACCAGATTTCAGAGTATATTCTTTATTGTCGTCTGGATTAAATTTTTGTTGTGCATACATTTAAAATAATGTCCAAACAGGATATTTTCAATTTTTAACGACTAACGACTAATTTAATAAAAAGTTCCTATAATTTTTCTATTGATTTTCGCTTTCGATGTGTGAAAGCAAATTTAATATTAGAATTAAATGATTGTGGATGACAGAAGAACGTAATCTACCTGACATCATTCATTCGTGCCGCGGTTCACATAAATCTCTTTTACATTTTGAAAAATTTCGTTTAGCATAAGCTCCCGGAACGTGTCAAACACGATGGCGCAGCGCTACAAACCTATGATCTATAAGTTTCACGGTCGATCCTTTGTTGGCGCGCATTATGATGAAAAAGCGACATCGTAAAATATAAATGCCAACGAAACATCCAGTTAATGAAGAATATATGTCGTCGTTTTTTCGGGGTCGAAATTTACGACACGATTTTGATGCCATCCAATATGACAAACAGGGAGTTTGTTTTTGGAAGGCAACCCTAAACAGTATTTTTGTAACTATACAGAAAACTGCATTGATGTACGAATTAGTTTAGTTTGTTGGCCCAAAGTATATACTATACGTGTAGTACAAATATGTACAATGAAAAAGGTTGGATAAATGGTTGGTAACTTTGAAATGTTATTTCTAACTTTTTTTCAAATGCAAGTTTATTCTATATCTCATTTTCCAAACCAATTTGGAATTTTTGATAAAAATAGAAATTGATTTTCTATTATTATTTTTATATGATTTAATTAATTTTAGCATGACGTGATAGCATTTTATAGAATGTTATACATGTTTCATCTTATCAGTGGTCTCTACATCAGTTAACTACATAATTCTGAAAAAATAATAAAATATATTTAAAGTCTTGAAAATAGTTTTTCATATGTGAAGAATTATCACCGTACCTATCGCTTCGCTACGTGGTGTAATTGTTTCCTAAAAATAATCGTGTTAAGCTCGATGCACTTGCTGATGTGTACTGTTGAGAGTTGAGTACTTTTTTTTGTGGATGTGAGGAGAGGCCACTTATGAGTGACCTGTCTGATTGTGGCTGATTGAAATTTAAACGCATTTCATGTCGTTTTATAATGCGCCTTAATCAATTATTGACCGCGGCGCGTGCACGTCGCCCGTACGTGAAATCAATTTATATTGATGAATATATTATTATTAAGATGTAACGCAACAGCGAACGTTCGGTCCTCAACGTCCCGGACGTAAAACCACCGAGGAGCGTTAAGAGCACCTTCATGATTGATGAGCTGGAGTTTCGTTCGTAATATGATAATTTCTTAATAGATGCAGACTTCTCTGCACGGAGAGACTGGACACATGGCGGCTTGAAATTATACACTAATTAAAGTGTGATTGCATAAATGATATAAAAAAAATCGCACATTAGTTATTCGATCATTTGTCATAGTTATTGATTTGTCTTGGGGACACCCGAAATATGGTCTGTTAGGGGCATGCGTTAATTTTAATTGCTGTTTTGTTTTGGATTGTTTCGTGCAACTGCAACTCGTTTTAATGTTAAATCGTTTACCAATGGACTATTTAGATTGTGTCGAACGCCAGGCAAGCGCGATAGGAACGAACGAAAGGCAAACGTTAATAAAATCCATTATCGTTTGCGGACGGACAAATTACCTGGACTTGTCCCATGTAATTCGTTAATAAATACGGCGTGACTCCGCGTATCTTTAGCGGGCGCGCGCCTGTCCTAGCGATGCTATCGTGGCCATGGTCGGGCGTCCGCGCCGCAGCGCCCGCTAATTTATACGCCCTGTGCTCTTTTGTTTAACCGTTGTGTTCTTGTCCGCAGGGGGTCGACGAGGATGACGGTGCTTCGGTCACTTCGGTGAGTACACACTTCCAATACTATTCCTGCATTTTTTATATTTTCAACTTATCTAAATCCATTTTGTTTGAGTCTACAACGTTTAAATGCTCACGCTTTTTTAACTACGAGTATATTTAACAACAATGAGATCATTTTCCCTGGAGGATTGCAATTAAAGTTTCCTTTATTGTCTAGACGTATAGTAATGTGCGGCAGTCTCTCGGTTGGAGGGAATTGTGTGACAGCTCGTAAAATGTGTGATATATTTTTTTTCTTCGACAGCTGGAGCCCAAGAAGTGCGTCGCATGGATGGTGGCGGCCGCCAAGGGCGACTATCAGGAGCTGGCGAAGCTCGCCAACAAGGAGCCGCGTCTCGTCAAGCTGAAGGTAAGTGCCAATGTCGAAAATTTAGCGCCGTAATCGATCTCTTTTGTCGCCGATTTCAAGATTCTCATCGAGAATGTTTCCAATTCCAAATTTGCGGTTTGTTGGGTTGCCTTTTACTTTTTCTGTTCAATGGAATTGATGAGTCGTGTTTTGAAAGAACTTTACGCAAACGTGTGGATTTTCTTAGCGTAGTAAGCGCTTAACGCCCCCCGAACAAGCAATCCGGTCACACCCAAACGCGTTCTATTGTTTTAACTCGAATGGAATAAAATTCGGCGCAGACTTGAGTCTTTACTCTCACTTTGCTCTGCCAAAGGAAATCTTTTCCTGATCCGCAGGTAAACTGGTAGATACCGCTGGTCATTGATAAATTTCCACCCATTTGGGACACGAAGAGATGAGAGTGAACCGGACAAATAGGTTTATCTTCTGATCTATCTATTAAAAGTCTACAGCTAGAAGTATACCTTGTTAGTTTTATGTTTGGGTGTTTCAACAACTTTCGAACGGTTTTCGTCTAAACTTGTCTAGACTCTGTTAGGTCCGGAGGGTTTCAAATTATGTCTGATTTAAATCCTAGTTATGAGAAAATCTCTGATAAGATAAAAGTTGCGAAACTTTTGTGGGGTGTACCATGCCCACAATAAAGTGCTGATTGATTTATGGACATGCATGTGTTTTAACATGCTTGATAGTCGAATGAGAAGCATAAAAAGTTGTACTATGATTTAAATAATAAATCATAAACTCATTTAGCCGTATTCAATTTTATATCGACGGCAGACGACGGCAATTTATTTCATTTTACCTACCCGTTTTGTTTATACAAGATGGTTTTAATTATTGCGCTCGATTTACGGCAATGTCAAGAAGGAGGATTTTTTAATCTGAAATATAGGTACTCGTCATTTGAAACACATTGTAAAATGAACGTTCATACATGTAGTAAACATGTTTAATATTACATGAGTTTTTTCACTGTTGTTGGTCTCGCTTACTAGACCTCTAATAAATTAATAATTATGTTTCTTGAGTTGAGTTCTCATGCGCCTTGTTTGAGAAAACAAATAACTAATAACATACAGCTTGGGGATATTTTAAAACAACCGGTAGTCGAACATATTTTGTACTAAGTAGATTTTAATTACAATCAATAATATATTATCTTAATTTTGCTGAAGGTTGGGTGTGAAGCTCGAACGGATGGGCGCATAGGTGGGCGATTGTTTTCTTCTCCTCTCATTTCTCATTCGATTTCAACGATAACCGGATAGACATCATGGCTTTATATATGGCTTTCTATTTCAATGTTTGGAACTCCCTCTGATCACTGGAGTATTTTTCATTACCAGAAGTGGAGTTACCAGGAAAAACTAGAACGAAATTATGCCTGTGCTAGTGTAGAAACTTGCTATGGTTATTTATTTTTTTGGACATATCAACGCCGACATGATATTCGGCGGTTCGACTGTTACAGTATATAAAAAAATTAATTCATTTATTTGACCCTAGCGAGTAATTTATTAAGTTCATTGTTGTTTTTTTTTTGGTTCGCATACATAGTATGCAATTGCCCTCTTCGATTTTTTCTTCTCTAGCAAATTGCAAAAAATTTATTACAATTAAAATTTATACTAGTAAAAATTTTTTGTACCCCATAAATTAAATAGTTTTCTGAATATGTGTTAAGTACTTTACATCTTCACATCAAAACTTACACTCCTCTAAGGAACTTTTATCAACTAAATATCTTATAATAATTACTTAATTTACTCAGCTGGGGTGGTTCTTACGAGCATATATACCTACTAGTGCGGCAACCATATTAATGCAGGCTGTTCGCGTAACACACTGAATTAATCATCATAGTTATGTGATTTGTTTAATTTGCATCGAATATTCATGGGGACTTGCAATTGACACTTTACAACGCACCGATTTACAATTTACTATTGTATAATATAACCAACACTTTGTCCGTTTCCGTGCACTAGATCTAAGCTTGCTAAACCAAAGCAATATTCACTTATTCAACGCATGCGGTCGACCCTGTGTGTCCAGTGCCCGTATTCGTATTGCAAGCTCGCCGACGTCGTCTCCATCGTGCATGGCATGCATGTTTGCAACGGTTGCGCCGTCGACACGACGGCGGCTCGAACGGCGCCTCTCTGGTCGCACAACTACAATAGGCTCTAACTTGGTGGATTCGGTAACGCTTTTGCATTTCTGCCACTTCGTCCCGCAGCGTAGCGCATACCACGAGCAAAAAATAAAACACATCGCAACATTCACGGAATGTTTCCAATTGTAACGCGGTAACGCTGTTTCCAGATACTCGGAGACATTTATCGAACTCGCCGATAAGGAATTCTCTGGGTTCGGGCGTCTTCACCTCCAGGCCAAGTCTAATGCGGATCGGCCTTTCCGTCTCGCTTGGCGCGTGAGCCAGCCAGATCGTGCTGAAGGTACGAATACGGGAACGTATGATTTTTGACGGTTGACAGGTGAGCCGGCTCGCGGCCATCCATCCCTGTCACCGCGCGACTGGCCTGCCAACTCAGCTACCAGTCTTGGCGCTCAGCGGCGGTCGGAGCCTCATTACCAAAGAGGTTGAAATACGAGCCGCAACTTAATAACACCTCGTGTAGGAAATAATTGGCCGGGCACACAAAACGCTTGTTCCAGTGCGGTGGTCCCGACTGTGTTACCTCGCTTCACTTTTCGTCTTTTATCTGCGTTGTCTTTTTGGTCAATTTGTACCCAATGGTGGTAATAGAAATGCAATCAATTTCGCCGCTTTTTGTTTCCCAAGAAGAAGCCGAATCGAAATGAGACATTCCACGCTTAATTTATTTAGCTAGCCCGAAATGAGGCTGGTTGAATTCAGATGCACAGGGCAAATGTTGCACCAGCGATTTTCCCGGCGGACTTCTACCGTTCCGAGTCGAGGCTGATTGTTGGGGTGCGCGGTGTTTCATTAAAGTGGTCGTGTTCCGATGTTTCGAATCCGCTACCAGCGCTACCGCCGTTGCGCTGGAGAGGGCGAGATCGACTATCGGTCTCGATATATCTGTGTGTAAATTAATTAATGAGTTCATTTATGGCTAGTGCCGTGCGAGCGTGGTTGGACGTCTGCCGGTGAGCCCACCAATTTGGTGATGCATCGATTGCAAAATGCTTCAATTCCCCGCGCCCCCGACGTTCAAATTTTCATAAATTACGTAGTACGTTTGGGGGACACGTAAATTTTGAGCGCAAAACATGCGTTTTTCGTTGGTTTTGGTTCTATTGCGGGCGCACGTAAAATAATAATCGTAATATCGTGCGCTGGGAAATAAGATAAGATTTACGGACATCATTAGTGGTTGTAACGTGGCGAGCACCGGCCGTGTCGCGCAACTCGCGGGTCGGTTGTTCTTGCCGGCGGGTGGTCCAACGTATGCACGCACGTTGTGAAAACAATAAATTATCCATGCAGAAATGCGAAAAATATACTTGCATAATGTAAAACATGCTCTAATCATATAAATATTAAAAATTGCATTTTTTTATTCCTTTTTTCACACTACTTTGAAGACATCATTGCTTTCCTTATTTTGCGTTTGGAAGTTTGCTCTGTGTCCATGATTGTTTGTGTATGCATATAGAGCTTTTAGTATTTTCATTATCTTACTGTTAATCTGGCTCGTTGTGCGAGTGGCGCCGGTGAACGTCCGTGTTGCAGATCTTTTTGGATTACATCGACTAGACAAAGCATTAAAAATAAACGTATCATCTCTACCTACTTTTCGCGTTCTCGTTGGGTTGCTGGGTTGGGTTCTTGGCATCGAACGTTAAGTACAAGATCAATTATCATGGTGTGGGTCAAGATTTCGATTACGTCAAAGGAACATCCTGCATTGGGTTTGAAATCTGAGACTTGTTATCGGTTGAAAAATGTTTTACCTTTTATTTGTGCATATCGAGAGCGGAACAAGTTGCACTGAATGCGGTTGGGAGCAAGCCGTGCCGAAAAAGTGAAAATAAATACTTGCCCATTAAACTTAGCAAAATGGTGAGGTATGTACCTACTATTTTGAAATGTGTTACTTAGTTATTTTTAAACATGTGATGTTAATGAAGGAGATGTTTAAAGGTAGCTAAATACACATGTTACTGGATACTACCCGCAGTTGTTATTTATTTGCTCATAAATTCAATGCAGTACTACAAATGACAAAAGTGTATCATTTTTTTTAGTTTATGGTGTACCCATAAGGGCGTATATATTGTTTTTTTTAAATTTGTGTATATGTCAAACGTGAAATGAGATCTCTAGGTGAAACATTGGCTAGTGATATCAGTTTTTTTAATTGTTAGGTCTACCTGATGCCACCATTAAATGACAGTAACATGAAGTGTTTTTAAATGAATGGGTTTCCTTAACTTGTAATGCGACCGCGAGGACCCAACCCACATGCATCCGAATCCCATCATCGTGCTCGGCTTTCCGTTTTTAAATAGGATCCACTCGCATATGGAAAAAAAAGTCTAAAAAGTGTAGTCGACGCATATTTCACGCAACGTTTTCGACTCGACTTCCAATTACGGTGCTTTACCCGCTTGGCGGTAACACTGGGCCGAATAAACTAAACATTGAGACTCTCTCATCTCCTGTACGCCAAGTTGGTGAGATTCTTCCAGCGAGCGACCTGAATCTATATCAACACGCGGCGCAGAGTACTACAGGTATTAAAAGGGTACAGAGTATTTAAATTTGAATAAACAAGCCCGTCGCAAAGGAATGGGCATCGGTTGTGAATGTGCTTGGTGGACTTGCGCTTTCGCTTGGGGAAGAATTAATTTCATGTGACGTCGACGGGCTGGACCTGTATACAAATCAAACCAACCCACGCCGGACCACCGCATTGGCGAGCGCTTCGTTGCACTGCTGCAATATAAAATAAATTATCGGCAAATTTTAACTAATGTTGGTATTTTATATGCGCAATACGCCCACG